ATCATGTCATACCAGTCAGAATGGCCATCATAAACAAATCAACAAACAAGTGCTGGTGAGGTTATGGAGAAAAAGGAACCCTCATGCACTGTTAGTGGGAATGTAGAGTGGTACAGCTACTGTGGAAAGCAGTATGGAGATACCTCAAAAAATTACAAATGGATCTGCCTTTTGGTCCAGTGAACCCACTCCTGGGAATATATACCAAGGAAACCAAAACACTATCTTTTAAGAATCATTTTCTATTGTTATTCTGTTACAATTGTCCCAATTTTCCTCCTTTGTCCCCCTCCACCCAACCCATCCCCTCTGCTACCACAGTCAATTCCCACACTGTTGTCCATGTCCATGTCCATGGTCATTCATACATGTTCTTTGTCTAGCCCCTTCCCCTTCTTTCCACCATCATCCTTCTCTGGTCACTTTCAGTCTGTTCCATGTTTCCATGCCTGTGGTTCTATTTTGTTCATTAGATTCCTCTTATAGGTCAGATCATATGGTATTTTTCTTTTACCTCTTGGCTTATTTCACTTAGCATAATATTCTCCAGTTCCATCCATGCTGTCATAAAAGGTAGGAGTTCCTTGTTTCTTTCTGCTATGTAGTATTCCACTGTATAAATGTACTACAGAATTTTGATACACTCATTTACTGATAGGCACTTAGGCTGTTTCCAGCACTTGGCTATTGTAAATAGTGCCACTATGGGTGCAAGTTATTTTGAATCAGTGACTTGGATTCTTAGGGTATATTCCCATCAGTGGAATCACTGGGTTAAAAGACAGTTCTATTCTTAGTTTTTTAAGAAAATTCCATACCTTTTTCCACAGTGGCTACCCCATTCTGCATTCCCATAGACAGTGACAAAGGGAGCATGAGCATATAATGGAGCAAAGATAGCCTCTTCAATAAATGGTGTTGGAAGAACGGGACTGGTACATGCAAAAACAAACAAACAAACAAACAAACAAACAGCTAGACCACCAACTTTCACCATACACCAGAATAAAGTTAAAATGGATAAAAGATTTAAATATAGGTTGTGACACCATAAAAGTCCTAGAGGAAAATATAGGCAAGGGAATTTCAGATATCCCATGCAGCTATATTTTTGCAGATATATCTCCTAGGGCAAGAGAAGTAAAGGAAAAAATAAACAAATGGGACTACATCAAACTAGAAAGCTTCTGCACAGCTAAAGAAACCATCATCAAAATAAAAAGGGAACTGACTGTATGGAAGAACATATTTGCCAATGATACATCAGATAGGGGTTTGGTCTCCAAGATATATAAAGAACTCATATGACTCAACACCAGGGAAAAAAGAAACAATCCCATTTAAAAATAAGCAAAGGATCTGAATAGACACTTCTCCAAGGAGGACATATGGATGGCCCATAGATGTATGAAAAGATGCTCAACATCACTAGCCATCAGAGAGATGCAAATTAAAACCACATTGAGGTATCACCTTGCACCTGTCAGAATGGCCATCATTAGTAAATCAACAAACTATAAGTGCTGATGAGGATGTAGAGAAAAGGGAACTCTAGTGTACCAAAACACTAATTTGAAAGAACATAAGCAGTCCAATGTTCATAGAAGCATTATTTACAATTGCCAAGATATGGAAGCAGCCCAATTGTCCATCAGTAGATTGACTGGATAAAACAGCTATGAACATTTACATTATGCAATACTACTCAGCCATAAAATAGAAGAAAATTTTACCCATTGCAACAGTATGGATGGACCTGGAGAACATTTGTTAAGTGAAATAAGCCAGTCAGAGAAAGGCAAATATCATATGATTTCACTTATATGTGGAATCTAATGAACAAACTGATGTAACAAGGGAACTGGGGACAGGCTCATAGATGGAGAGCAGGATGATGCTAGTGGTGGTCCGGGGGAAGGTTAGGGGGCGTAGGGATTGAGCAAAATGGAAAAGGGACTCATGAATATGGACAGCACTGTAGTTATTGCAGGGGAGGAGGGAAATACAAGGGGACTAAATCGTAATGGAAAAAATTAACAAATTAAAAAAAAATTCCTGTTCTTTGTTAGTGTTAGAGACTATAAAGGCAAGTCAGAAACTAGGAGAAACTGTTTTGAAAATGAAATTTAGAAAGATCTTTTATATCTAGCATAGAAAAAGAACTCCTCAAACAGAATACTAAAAAAACAATCAACCCATTTAAAAATAGTCAAAGACTTTAAAAAGAACCACTTTATCAAAAACACATATGTATGGTGCCAGGTGGGTACTGGCAATATTGAGAAAAATACTATGTAAAGTATTTGATTGTCTAACCACCATGTTGAACACCTTAAACTAATAGATAATAATATTGAATGTGAACTGTAATTAAAAAATAAAAAATGCATGAAGAGTAAGATTAACAAACTGGAAGACATTTCAGTAGAAAATATACAAACTGAAGTTGAGCACGAAAAATAAAAAGAAAGAAAAGAACAAAAGACACATGTGAAGCAAAGAAAAACTCTAAAAAACTTTTGTGTTTGGAGTCCTAAAAGAGAAGAGAGAAAATATGGCTGAGCATTTTTTGAAGATATAATGGCCAGTGTTTTCCAGTGCTGATGAAAAAAGTCAACCCACAGAATCAAGAAGCTCTGGATGCCTCAAGCAGGATAAATACAAAGAACTTCACATGTAAGAACATTAATCAAAATGCTGAAAATCAAAGACAAAGAGAAATCTTGAACAGTCATAGAACATTAACATTAGAGAAGAATTACGAGACTTAAAACTGGATTTTCCAACAAATCATGTAGATGCCAGAGAAAAATACAATGACATCATGAAAGTCAAGAAAGGACATGCCAACTTTTAATTTTATAACTGGAGAAAAAATTCCATAAGTACTCACACCCTTTAAAAAAAAAACAACAAAGTGAGACAAACTTTTACCCTCAGACCTACATTAAAATAAGAGGAATTCTATGGAAGTAAGATGATACCAGACAGAAATGTAATGATGAATAAAAAGCCCTGAAAAAGAAAAAATATGTATGCAAATATAAATGATTATTCACTGTACAAAAAATAGATACTATCTTGGTATTTAAAATAAGTATGGCACAGCAAAAGAAACAATGAAAATGCAACTTATGAAATGGAAAAATATTTGCAAACTATATATCGGATAAAGGTTAACAGATAAAACATATAAAGAATTTATATAACTCAACAGCAAAATCATCATCATCATCATCATCATCCTCCAATTAAAAAATGGCCAAAAGACCTGGATAGACATTTTTCCAAAGAAGATATACAAATGGCCAACAAGTACATGAAAAGAGGCTCAACATCACTAGTCATTAGCAAAATGCAAATTAAAACTACAAGGACATATCACCTGGTGCCTGTTAGAACCACCATAATAAAAAGATAGGAGATAAAAAAACTGCCATGGGTATGAGGAAAAAAGGGAACTCTTGTGGAATTGGCTGATTGTAAATTTGTACAGACACTGTGGAAAACAGTATAGAGGTTGTTCAAAAAATTAAATACAGAACCACCATATGATCTAGCAATTCCACATATGGAAATACATTCAAAGGAAAAAAAAACACTAACTTGAAAACATCTATATCCTCATGTTCATTAAAGCATTATTTACAATGAGCAAGATATGGAAACAACCTAAGTGTTCACTAATGGATGAATGGATAAAGAAATTGTGGTATACATAAACAAAGGAATATTATTCAGCCATAAAAAAGCAAGGAAATACTGTCATTTTGCAACAACATAGATGAACCTTAAGGCATTATGCTAAGTGAAAAAGGCCAGAGAAAGACAAATACCATATGAGCTCACTTATACATGGAATCTAAAATACAATAAGACACCAAAGTCATAGGAAAAAAGATCAGATTTGTGGTTACCAGAAGTGAGGGGTGGAGGGAGGGAGAACTGGAGGAGGTAGTCAAAAGGTACAAACTTCCGGTTAAAAGATAAATACTAGGGATATAATGTATAGCATAGAGATTATAGTTAACACTATTGTACAACATACAGAAAAGTTGTTAAGAGAGTAGGTCTTAAGAATTCTTATCACAAGGAGAATCTTTTTTTTATTGTATCTATATGAGATGGGTAATCATATACCAATCCATGCAAATCAAACCATCATGCTGTGCACCTTAAACTTATATAACAATGTATTTTAATTATTTATCAATAAAACTGGAAAAATGTATATGAAATTAAACTGTATTACAACAATAATACAAAGATGTGAGAGGGTAAATGCAGTTGATGTGATCTCAAACTAGCACTATCTTGGAAGTGATCAGGTAATAATTTGCATAAGATTTTATTAAGTAAAATACTATGTTTTAAGTTATAAGGCAATTATTAAATGAACAGAAAAAGAGTATATTGTGAACTAGTTAATAGAGTAAAAAACTAAATAATAAATGCACTTATTATTCAATAAAATAGAAGAGAAAGGAAAACAGAAGAAGAAATATAAAATGAGAGGGGTGTAAATAGGGCAAACATTTTAGGTTTTAAACACAAATTGGGTTGTAAGCCATTAAGCCTACGGGGGCTATGTAATGCAATTTGAAACTAAGATTGACAGATTGGCTACAAAAATCAAATTGAATATAAGCTGCTTAAAAGAAACACATCTTAAATATAAGAACATAAAAATGTTGGGAGAAAATAATGGAAAAATATAATCTATGCAAATACTAACCAAAAGATAGTTTTTATAGCCATAACATAACGGTTATAGAAACTAAGACACACCTAGAAATAAATAGGACTATTTAATAATAATTATGTTCAATCTACACTGAAGGTTACACGATTCTGAATATGTATATGCCCAATTGGTAACTTTAAAGTATAAAAATAAAAAATTTACAGATGTAAAGGAGAGTTATTATAAATCCAAAATTATAATGTGATAATAACATGTCTCCCTCAATAGCTGACCAAATAAGCAGAAACAAATTCAAATGCATCTATTTGACAGACCTGGAGCAATTACTGTTTGTTGTTAAGTTTTCCCTATAAATGCAAGAAAAAAAAGTATCTTTGCATTTTTATCTCTCAGTGTGGCAGCCAAGATTGAATGGGGAAATGAATACAGGAATTCCAAAAACATCGAGGGGGTGAGATAATTTGTGCAACTCAAATATAACCTGTAAACAATAAAGGGCCTATTCTATTAAAAAAAGAATCTAAAATTTGAGTTTAAATAAAAACATAAAATTCAATGAAGAATTAGAAAATACATACAACACAATTGCTACACTACACAAAATCATGACAGAAAACAGTCTTTCTCAAGAATGTGTGCCTTATATACCAAAGATGACCATATCTGGGACAGAAAGGAAACCTTAATAAATTTTTAAAAATTGAAATAATTGATAGCATATTCTTTAACCATAGAATAACTAAACTAAAAACTGATGTCAAAACAACTACAAAATATAAAACTATTAAAAAAATTAAGCAATACACTTCTAAATAACTCCAGGACAAAAAAATGAAAGTAGGATTTATAAGTTATTTGAAATAAAAGATTTTCAAACTGTGGGATATAGAGAAATCAGTACCTACAGGGAAATTTATAATTTTGAGTGTATTTCCTAGAAAGAATATAAACTAAAAATGAGTTAATTCAGCTTCTATCATAATAAGCTAGGGAAAAAACAATCTTATACACAAACCCAAAGAAAGCAGAAAGATATAAATAAAAATAACAGCAAACATCAAAAGAATAAAAAACATAAAATTAAGAAATTAAACATAACCCAGAGTTAATTCTTTGAAAATATCAACAAGAAAAAAAATCACAAATTATCATATCAGGAAAGAAAAACTGGACAGTACTCCAGATAGAAATGGCATTAGAAAGATAACAGGAAGATATAAACCACTTCATGGCAATTAATTTAATAATTCAGACAAAAAAAATTTCTAGGAAAAGAGGAGAGAAACTTTCTGTAGTTATTTAATATTAAGTATATTAAATCATTTAAAACTATTCTGTAAGAGATATCCCCAAACCAGATGGCTTTACTGATGAATTATCACATATATTTAAGGGAAAAAAACACATCATCATATGCAAACTCTTGCAGAATATAGAAAGAACATTTGTCTTTTTTTTTAAAAAATGAAGTCAGAACAAACTTGATAGTAAAACCTGACAAAGATATTACAAGAAAGTGAAAGTAAAGGCTAATTCATGCCATAACATTAGATGCAAAAATCTGAACTATAATATTAGTAAATTTAATACAGAGATATAGATAAAGATAATTCAACAGTACCAAATGATTTTGGGAATACAAGGTTGTTTACCATTTGATAATTAATGTAGTTTATCACCTTAGCTGACAAAAGGAGAATATGATCAGTTTGACAATTGAAGAAAAAGCATTTGACAAACTTCAACACTTATTCATGATAAATATTCTTGGTAAATCAAGAATAAAAGGAAAATCCTTATATCAATAAAGAATAACTACAAGTAAAACCACTAAAGAACTTCAAGTTTAATGATGAATTATGGAAAACCTCTCTCCTGAAATCAAGGTGAGACAAAGTTATCTGCTATTATTAGTTCATTTCAATATTATACTAGAGATCTTAGCCAGTACTGTAAGGCAGGATAAATAATATAACAATTAGAAAAGAATGGGGAAAGGACCGTTATTTGCAGATTACATTTTTGGTGCCTAAAGAGAAACTATCAGAATTAATAAATGAATCTACAAAAGCCACTATGTTCATAGTTAAAATATAAGAATTAGTTGTATTTCTATATATCACTAATAAACAAATTTTGAAGAATAAATGTACAAAAATCATACAATTTACAATAGCTTCTAAAATATTAAATAGGGATAAATCTAATGAATGTCAAAACATCACACTTTATTATAGTTAAAGCTACAAAACATTATTGTGAGAATTAATGAAGACCTAAACACACAGAGGAATGTGCCATGTTCATGGATGTGGAGATTCAAAACTGTCTAGATACCAACTATCGCTGAAATGTTCTGTAAATTTAATATAGTAACAATAAGATTTTAACTTTAGAGCTTGACAAGCTAATTACAAAGTTTACATTTACAGAGAAAGTGGTTTAACCAATGCTCCAAGAATAAAGAAATCATAAAAAAAATACACAGGAGGGTGTATATATGTATATGTCAAGACCTAGCATACCCATACATGTATCATATGACAAAGATATAATGGCCAAGCAATGCTAAAGAATAGCAAGAAATTGAAAATTGCTTAAAAAATAGAGAAGGCTATGTTGAGACAGGGAAATATGTCTTAAACATGACTCAAAAACTCTAAAAATAAAGAAAAACTTAGAAAGCTGGCCTCACTAAAGTTATTATTTTTTTATTCATCAAAGGATTTAATGTGCCATTTTAAAAATAAGATAAACTACAAAAATGTGTTTGCATATAACCAAAGAATATTAATATATATAGAACATTTAAGAAACTATATAAATGAATTGAGAATAACAAAAGATCTCAAAAGAAAAATAAACAGTACTTCCAGCCAAGATAGAGGTGCAGGTAGATAAGTTTTGCTTATTTGCACAACCAAAAGAAGGGCAACAACAAATTTAAAAACAAAAACAAGCAGAACTGCCACAAAATCGAATTGCATGGAAGTCCGACAACAAAGGATTTAAAGAAGAAACATTCATTCAGACTGCTAGGAGAGGCAGAGGTGAGCAGCTGAGGGGAGAGCATATGTGTCAAGGAGGTGGCTGGAAGACTGGGCAGTCCCACATTCAAGTGTGGATAAGCCAGAACGAACCACTAGGGAGCAAGACCAACCATGCAACCCAGGGTTCCAGCATAGGAAACTAAAGCCCCAAACCTCAGGCCTTAAAAACTTGTGGGGGTTGCAGCAGTGGGAGAAACTCTCAGCCTCACAGGAGAGTTAGTTGGAGAGACCCACAGGGTCCTAGATTATACACAAACTTACCCACCCAGGAATCAGGACCAGAAGGGCCCAGTTTGCTTGTGGGTAGCAGAGGAAGTGACTGAAAGCAGGCCCTGAGAAAGTGGCATTGCTCTGTCTCTGACCCCTCCCCCACATATAGGGCCACAATGCAGCGAACTAGGTTGCCCTGCCCTGGTCAATACCTGAGGCTCCGCCCCTTACAAAGTAACAGGTACACTAAGACAAAGAAATATATACCAAGTGAAAGGACAGATCAAAACTCCAGAAAAAGAACTAGATGAGGAAGACATAACCAACCTATCAGATCCAGAGTTCAAAACACTGGTAATCAGGATGCTCACAGAAACGATTGAGTACAGACACAAAATAAAGAAAGAAGTGAAGACTATACAAAATGAAATAAATGAAAATATACAGGGAACCAACATTGAAGGGAAGGAAACTGGGACTCAAATCAATGATTTGGCATAACAGGAAGAAATAAACATTCAACCAGAACAGAATGAAGAAAAAAGAGGTCAAGAAAGTGAGGAGAGTCTCAGGAACCTCTGTGACAACTTTAAATGCTCCAACATCTGAATAATAGGGGTGCCAGAAGGAGAAGAGGAAGAGCAAGAAATTGAAAACTTATCTGAACAAATAATGAAGGACAACTTCACCAATCTGGCGAAGGAAGTAGACTTCTAGGAAGTCCAGGAAGCTCAGAGAGTCCCAAGGAAATTGGACCCAAGGAGGAACACACCAAGACACATCATAATTAAATTACCTACGATTAAAATAAGGAGAGAATCTTAAAAGCAACAAGAGAAAAGGAGAGAGTTATTTACAATGGAGTTCCCATAAGACTATCAACTGATTTATTTTGTTGTTGTTTTATTCAACAAGTGTTTATTGAGTACCCAAATATGTTCCATGAACTCTTTTTTTTATTGTTGTTCAAGTACAATTGTCTCCATTTTCCCGCCACCACTTTCCCACCCTCAATCCTTCCCTTAACTGATTTCTCAAAGGAAACCTTTCAGGTAAGAAGGGACTGGAAAGAAGTATTCAAAGTGAAAGGCAAGGACCTATATCCAAGATTACTCCATCCAGCAAAACTGTCACTTAGAATTGAAGGACAGATAAAGGGTTTCCCAGACAAGGTAAAGTTGAAGGAGTTCATCATCACCAAGCCCTTAGTATATGAAATGTTAAAGGGATTTATCTAAGAAAAAAAAGATGGTTAAAACTATGAACAGTAAAATGACAACAAATTCACAACTATCAACAACTGAACCAAAAAAACAAACACAAACACAAACTAAGTAAACAACTAGAATAGAAACAGAATCACAGAAGTGGAGATCGGGGTGGGGGAGGATGGAGGAAAAGGTACAGGAAATAAGAAGCATAAATGGTAGGTACAAAATAGACAGGGGGAGGTTAAGGATAGTATAGGAAATGGAGAAGCCAAAGAACTTATATGTACGATCCATGGACATGAATTAAGGGCGGGGTAGGGGTGGGGGTGGGGGGTGGGGAATGCTGGTGAGAGGGGTGGTGCAGGGCAGAGGGAGATAAAGGGGAGAGAAAAATGGGACAGCTGTAATAGAATAATCAATTAAATATATTAAAAAGAGAGAAATCAACAAGTAATAAGTATGGGCAACATATGGAAAAGAAAGTTTACATAGACAATAAATACCTGAAAAGATTAATCTCCCCAGAGGCCATACAAATGTAATTTGGAGCAACAGTCATATATAGTTTTGCATTCATGAAATTGCAAAAATTAAAAACCCTGATAGCATCAAGTGTTGACAAGAATATGTGGGAGTAGGATCTCTTTGTGTGGTGGTGGTGATTGATAAATCACTTTAGAGAGCAATTTGGCAATAATTTCCTGTAAATAATTTCCTGTACATGCCCAGTAATTCTACTTGAGGTATATAACCTAAATTAATTTTAACAGATACACAGGAATTTTGTTGTTCAATGCACATCATATTAATTAAAAACTGCTAACAAGATAAATCAATAAAGAAATAGATAAATTGTGGAAATACCACTCAGTGAAACTGATACATTAATTAAAGTAAGTAAATCATCATGGATTAATCTCAAAAGCACAATGTTAAGTGATGGAAAAAAGTTGAAG